GGTCTTGGCCATCCTCGTCGAACTGGATGGTTCGTCCCACCTCCATCGTCATGGCGATGAGTCGTTGATCCGCCGGGTCCGACCCCGCGAGAGGCGACCCTCCAGCCGTCGCTGGGCTTCCGTCGCTCGGAGTTGCTGATCCCTTGACCATCTTCACTCTTCTCTTTCTCTTCTCTTCCTCTTAACTTGGTTAGCTGGCACCTATAAAAACAAGCACACACTCCTGTTCCCGGGTCGCGGTACCAGTTCCGGTGTAGTAGAACACACAAATGCCGTCAAATGTGGATTCCTTACACAAACCACAACGAATTGCCGAGTTAGGTCGGCGGTTGTATGGCCTGCGCAGAGGGTGGTCCCCTCGCGGTCCGGCCCTTTCGGGACAGACGAGTGGCTCGCTTCCACTCGGTTCCGACTAACCAAGTCAGCTCACTTCCGAGGCTCCGCCGAGTTTGGTTCGGCGGAGCTCGTTCACAACCCTGTATCCTCCACCAAAGGATGGACGACGGCGCGCGAGCGCTTTTACAGGTCACCGAGCGCAGAGGCTGCTCAGCTAGAAGTGTTACGGCACCCGGGCTATCCGACGTACCGGCCCGCTGAGTATGCGGGACTTTCTTTCGCGCGTAGCGAGACTTTGTCCAACCCGGACCGACCTAATCTCTTGGCGCTACCAGTCAATACCCCTACAAGCTATGCCTCTCGAGTATGGACGGCAGGCATAATCCAGCCCTATGCAGGGACTTACCGAAAAAGTGTACACGTGTCTTGGACTAGGCAAATTCTGCTCTCTTATCTTCTGGGAGCCTTTTCGGCTCCCCCTATTTAATCCTATGCTTCTTATACAAACATCTAGTGAAAATGTAGTCGTTTCGGATCTCTACTGACCCTTCCGCTGGGTTCAGGCGACCGTTGAGCTCAGCGGCTATCCGGATAGCATCATCCGGACAGATCACCGAGTACTTACCGTGATCCTTTGTTCCTAAGCTCTGGGCTATCAGACCGAGCCGATTCTTGATCTAAAGTAGGTTGGCGTATGGTCGAATCCGAAAATCTCTACACCACAGAGCCGATTGAACGGCTCCTGATTGACTGCCCGAAGGCTGTCTCAATCTGGGAACAGAAGCGGCGGCAGCTTTATAAGTAGTCCGGGGCTTCTTGCCCGAACGGGGTACGGATGATGAATACATTCCGTACCCGCGCTCATCGTGAGCGCTGGAAGCCGCGCGCTTCAGGGTGTCCCTTTGCAGCATGCGCTTGCTGATCAAGTGGGCAAACCTCACAGGAGATCACGCTGGTCCAGGATGCGGGACAGCAGCTGATCTTCATGGAGCTCCCGTAACTCCGTGGGTACGTACTTAAGAGTCTCCACCCATGCCCAGAACATGTCCTCACAAGAACTCCACGTGGGACAGTTGTCGGGCATAACCCAGGGATATCCCCAAAGAGGATAGAGACCACCCCGGGTCTCGGGCTTCTTACGACAAGCCGTGAAGTCCTTATGGGGAATGCGGTGTGCCGCGAGAAGCACACACCGAGCAGCCTCCAAGTTGTCAACGAACAACTGTTCTTTCTGAACAAGGGCACGTTCGTAGATGCCCCTAGAAGTGTGGCCGCCCACAAGGCTACGAGGAGCGACGAGAAGCTCTATATAGAGGTCAACCCCAGAGCTCTCCTCGGGAGGCCAATACCCTCGCGAGTTGATGGCAGCTCCCTGGCTGACGGGTGCCACCACCGGACCCCCACGCACACGCTGGGTAGCTTGGAAGTCCTCCTGCTGCTGGTCGAGAATATTTGAGATCTCACGGGGCTCAAATATAGCACCCTCTTCCTCTTCCTCCTCGTCCTCTTCATCCGAGGAATCGAAGAGGCCCCGATGGGAGTACCGAGTCTCCTTCTCCTCGCGGAGTGGAGACTAAGAAGCCGTATGCTTCTTAGAGGGCTTGGCGCCTTCGACTTTAGTGGTCTTAGCACGCGCAAGACCCTAGGCAAGCGAGAGACGTTTGCGAGGTTTCTCTTCCTCATCGCCACCAGCTTTGGGAGTGCCCTTAGTCTTGACGGCCGGACTCTCAGAGCGCACGGACGTCCTGGGGCTGTGATCACCTTGGTCACGAGCGAGCGACTGCACGCTGTCGTCCTTGTGCTCGCTGGGCACTGGGCTGTACCCTCCCGCAGAGCCCGCAGGAGCATCGTGCGTGCTCTCGGACTCGGCTTCGTCCTCACTGCCAGAGTCGAACTCACGTTCAACGAACCGAGGGTTCAGACGATTGTCTGGAGAGGCCGAGGGCGACGGGCTGTGGCGCTTGCTTGTTCGCTTACCCACAGCAGCGTCGCCCGATGAACCGATCGCCTCGGAGGCCACCTAAGTAGCCTCCTGAAGTGCCGAGCCTTTGCCGTGAGGCTTAGTGCTCTTGGCTTGCGCCTTTCCGGCAGTAGCCTTGGAGCGTATCTTCGCACCGCCCTTTGCAGTGCCACGAGGCATGGTAAACGGTCGAAGCGGAGACGAAGAAGAAGAGCGCACAGACTGCTGCTCGAGGCTCTAACTGTGAAGTGAGCCTCCGCCGCGCTCGCGCGGCCAAGTCGATAATTTTTGACTTTGAGATTGAAAGTTTGTGACGAACACTTCTTCATTCTGATTGGTCGGTAAACCGAACCTAAGTGGGGGAGGCTGTAACGGGGTACGTAGCCCTAAGTGTACCCTGGTTACATGAAGTGTGACACGTCATACTTCGAGATATTTGGTACAAGGTACCAAGGTCGTCCAAAGCCATGCATTTCTAAAGGTGACTTATAGTTTGTATTAAACTTAAACCTTATCTACCTATAAATATACTCAGTTTACATTCTACCTAGCGACAAAAGCAATGATAATCACAATATTAATACAATAAACCATTAAAAAAAGGCACCCCCGACTGAGCAGACGTCTCAACGGCGATGCAGACCGTACGACGCCATCTCGATCGCCTCTTCGCCGTGCACATGGTCATCGCAGTGGTGACAGGGGCATTGTGTTTCTTAACTCCGCACTCGCTCATGGCTCCAATGCTCGGCGATGTCAGCAACACACACTTGGCACATGAGTTCGTGCGACTTTACGGTGAGTCGAACGATCTTACGAGTGCTACTGCTGCTGCAATTTGGTCATAACAGTGCTAAACTGAGCTGCTGGGCTCGCCGGTTGCTTTCATTCAATGCAGGTGCGCTGACACTGGCTCAGGGTTGGATGGTGTGGCGCACGCGGCTTGTGAGTGACGCACTTATTCGCCGCACATTTTGCCAGGCCTACTGCATTTGTTTTCTCCTGCAAGCGGTAGCGCTACTCCGTGCGCAGATAGCGTCGCCCGAAAGTCATTCCATGCTGCATTGGATCAATCTCCTGCTACTCGGAGGCCTGGGCTGTGCTTACGGCTACTTCCTCGTCTTCAAGACCATCAAAGCGTTCGAGCTGCCAGGCATTGAGAAGGGTCTTCTGTGATCTTAAACTAAGGTACACTCAGTGGTCGATCGACACAAGAAAAGATCTGGAGCCCGAGCCTAATTGTATTGATGAAACTTGTCAATTGAACTTCTCGATGGGATGGAGGGGATTGCTCAAATATTAAGAGGGTCGTCAAACGTACCAGCAGGCGTGTGGGTCTCAGTCCGTAGAGCTCCAGCTGGTTGAGCTTGGAGGCCAGGGGCAGGCTCGGAAGAAGAGGAGCCGCTAAGGTTAATGATTGTACCCTCTACACTGGATGAGTCGGGTGCAACAGCACTCGACGCGGGTGTACTGGTAGCTGGAGTGTTCGTAGAGGTGTGTGGTGAAGAGGAAGCTGACGGTGGGATGACAGCGGGCAGCGCTGGTGCCGGCGATATCTTTCGCTTTTTCCTCGCCTGGAGCACATTGATGAGGTTGCCATCGTTAGCCCCGTCCGCGTTCCGGAAGGCACGTTTGATGGTATCCGTTGGCTGTGCTTCCTGTTTGGCCGTGGCAGCCTTCGTTGAAGCATGCTCCTTTGAGGCCTGAGCCTGGGCTTGACTTCTAACTTTTTTACGCGCTTTCTTAGGCGTTGCAAACATTCGTCGCATCTTATCCTCGTTCAATGCAATTTGATCTACATGAAACAACAAGAGCATGTCGAAGCGTAAAAAAGAGTATCTCAGCAACACAGCCAAAAGCACCTGGGCAACTCACCTTTGCGTGGTACACTAGCGCCGAAGAAACCATCTTCAAACTTGATGAATGAGATGTAGCCGTCAGTAGACGAGATGCTTAGCGTCTGGCCATCTGCTGTCCAGGTCGCGTCAGTTAAGTCTGCGTAGTGAAGCCCCTTGATCGTGCAGATCGGGTGAGTTTGCTGTGTACATCGCCAGAACTGGTCAGCCGGCGAGCTGTGAGTGAAATAAAGTATCAACCAGAGGTATTACCTGTGTGTCGTAAATGACAACCGCATCGAGAGTAATAACGGCAAAGACGGATCGATGCTTCGTCTTGAACAGATTCGGCACTGAAGAACCTTCAGCATGGCTATCTGGGCGACGCAACTCATACAGAAGCGGACTGCAACGGACGGCAAGTGAAGCTTTCTCCTGCCCCGGCAAGTGCAGCGTCGGCTGGCTCATGTTGCCGCGTGAGAATGCATACACAGTGTTCACCGGAGATGCAGACTTGCTCGAGCGGAAGGTCCCAGTAGGCGCCAAAAAGTAACTCCCGTCCGGTGTCCACGCAGGTCGACGTGCGAACGCGGGGCAAGTGTCATCCAGGAACATTCGATGCTTCGGAGGGGCTGGAGCCTTTGCAGCTACATCAGCCTCGAGCTTCTTGATGCTGTCCTTATTTTCTGCGTCGACCTTGGCTGTTGCTTCCGAAGCGCATGGCTCAACTTGCTTCGAAGGAAACTCGCGGGTCTTGAGCGTCTGGGTGCACATGAACTTGCGTCCTTGTTTTTTCCCGTTCGGTTTCGACGCAGCTCCAAATCCACTAAGCGAGTAAACTCTGCACGTGCGGTCGTTGCCCTCCGTCACTATGAACTCGTTGAGCGGATCCCAAGCCACACCCTGCACGTATTGAGTATGGTCCTTGCGTCGCTCGGCCACGTCGCCCTTTTCAACGTTCCAAATGACGCAACGGTTGTCGACTGACGAAGACGCAAGGAAATCGGAATCAGGTGACCATGACAGGTCCGTGATATCACCCTTGTGGCCCAGCGACAGAATGGTGCGCCCCACATCGCTGAGCGACGAGATCTGGTCCCAACGCCAATCGTCTCCTGCAGTTTTAGGCTTGGACCAGAGGATAATCGACGTGTCATCACTGGCAGACGCCAGATATGAACCATTGGGCGAGAAGCGAACGCAATTAACGCTGCGATCGTGGCCAGAGAGGCTGAAGACAAATTCAAGCACCACGCCATCCTTCGCCTCGGGATTATCGCTCTCGCCCACTCGCCACAACTTGATCTCCTTGTCGGCGCCTCCCGTTGCCAGCAGCGGCTTGTCGGTTGTGGTAGCTTCTCCTGTATTGGCGCGCAGGAAGTCCAGTGACAGAACAGCCTCGTTCAGTCCCGTGGGGCCGCAATGCAGCCGGATCTCGGGCGTGGCCACGCGCGGCATTTTTCACTTTTTGATATATCCCGCCAATAGATAAGAGATGAAGTAAAGCGCAAACTTAACCTATCCGTCACACCCAATAAATGGACTACCTGGATTGGCCAAAACCCATCATGTTTTGACTTGTCATGAACAATACTAGCCGAGCGCCGCCGCTACGCGGCGTCTAGCTCGCGGGATACCGGTAACTAAAAAAAACGATGAACCCATGTGTACCTAAATCGATAATTTTTAATTTCATTACTTTGGGTCAGCATGATGCTTACCTGGTTTAAGAAATAATTATTCTAATGATCTTGAATCAAGATTCTTGGTGCAATCTCTTTTTTATTGCTGGCTATCACTGTATCTTCATCTTTCACCCAAGACCACCAGCACTTCAAATAACATCTATACAAACGCTTCACAATATGTTTCGTTTAGCGTCGTGCTCGATATCTCGGGCCATTTCTGTGAGCCGCTATGAAACCTAGCTCATACCAGCACAAAAGATAGTAATGGCCTGTCCAGCTTGCACTACTTACCTGCTTGTGCTGCCTATTTCAGCTTGTAAGTAACTAAAGATTGTCCACTTCTCATATCAAACTCAATGAAAGCTAAACTATATTCAAATTGTACTATTTTTAATGTATGTAGCGTTCATTTTGTGCTAATTCAGAATTAACACTCGAATCTGTGCCAGTTATGATTGAAGCATTTGAATATTGTGTCGCAAGACGCCTTGCTGCTGTGCTGGTAATTTTGTATTTGATAATTTAACGATGAATTCAGGATTATTGGACGTCATTTAGGCTCCAAGTTTATTAACGTTTCTTTATGGGGTCTACTTAATCAACTATAATTCACACCTCTCGTGATTTTTTGTTGTCTTGCCGCTCCATTTAAAATCGTATCGTACGCCTCTGTCGACGACACGTCCGCCAGTTAAGTAGTATCGGATTTTGCTGTCTTAACAACTCTGAGAAAACAATGGTTTACAGCAGTAACAATATGAGTTCATTTTATTCAATCCAAAACTATCTATCTATCTTAATGAATCAAGTGACAACGTTTATTTGCAGCGTTTGTTCTTACGTCCAGCTTCTATTGTACATGAACTACCTGTACGCTTTGGCAGCTCAGTCAGTTACCTCACTCTCAGATAATTTATTTACAAAACAGTTGTAGTTATTATAGTCATTGTAACTTGCAGAAACTATTAAGTGCAGAGTATTACATATTTTTATTTAAACCTCGAAAACACGCATTCCTACGTGTACGCTAAGCACCTTGCGGATAGTTTAGGATGTAGGGGCTACTTCATTCGAGAATAAGAAGCTCTGTCTGTTTAGCACTCAAATTTTAAATTCAACATTTTTAATATTAATACTTCGTAATATTGAATGGATAGTCTTGTTATATGTGCTCTGTGGACCACACGAATTTACTGATGTAAGCTACATAATTCTGTTTTAACCCATCGAAGCCACCTTCGCTCCGCTCGGCAGCCAATGGGAAGGCTCAAAAATCTGAGCGTTTTGTGTGACGGACGGACGGACACCGTGCTAGCATTGATAGTTTAGGACTAGCCGTTCGCCGCCGCTACGCGGCGGAGGTGGCAGGTTTTAGTCCAAGGGGAAATGGGCTCCCGCCTTCGCTGCACTCCGGCGTAAACATGATTTATGTAAACGTGATGTATTAAATGCATATGAAATTGAACATTCCTACTCCGAACCAAAGATCTGCCTGTAGACAATGTTCTGGGCGTAGACCCCATCCTCCTCCTCCAGCTTTGGGTACTCGACCAGCGCCTTGAATCTTGATCTTGAAGTAACTCGCGACATCGCAACGTGCAGCTGCCCGTGGGAGAAGCAAGGCGTAGCAAGATACAGCCCCAAGTACTGCACCGTTTGTCCTTGTGCCTTGTTAATCGTCATCGCAAAGGCCGGTTGGACAGGAAACTGCTTGCGTCTCAAATGAAACGGAAAGCTCCGAATGTCTCCATCACTGATGGAAACAATGCGGGGAATCAACACATGTCGCCCTTGTCGCTCACCTGTCATGATTGTGGCGTGGATGACATGTGGCTTGAGGGCCACAATTCGAAGCCGTGTTCCGTTGCACAGCCCTAGATCTGGATTCAGGTTCCGCATCATCATGATAGGCATTCCTACCTTGAGGGTCAACTTGTGGGGAGGCATTCCACTTATATTCATCGAGTGGAGTACCTCCTGCTCGGAGAAATTGCCGTCACCGTCGTCTTGTACAGAATCGGAAGACATGTATTCCCGCGCCTGTCCAGTTAATCATGTGGTGTAGCGGGATCAGCAAAATCTGCGAGATACCAGATCCAACTTACCAACTGCGCCCCAGACACCGACTAACGGAGGGGGTCCCCCGATGATCCGTGTTCTGCTGAACTTTCCTCACCTTGTGTACCCGTCGGTAGGGCGGGATCTGCTCTCTCGGTAACTTCCGAAGAGTTCAAGTGGTGAAGCTTGAGTGTCTTGGCGAGACGTGGGGATGGGGTGGAGCAGCAGTGGAAAATCTTCACTCTGCGTCCGTGGATGGTTCCGTATCCTAAGCGAATATTCGAGCTTATGGATCCGGGGCCTAGATCGTGGATCTGGCCGTAGGGTTGCCTTGCGGGTGTGTTCCCTTGCCTTTGTGTTGTCCTTTAAGTCGTACTTGCCGCCTCCTGTGACGGGATCTTGAGAGTTGAGAGCCCCTAGGGTGTAACCGACCAAGTAGTAAATTCGGTTAACCTGTCGGATCTGCACAAGTAAAGGAAAAGCTCACTAGGTTGTAGGATCTGGCCAATGTATTATCCAGTTATCACTACCAACACTAGATTCGCAATTCCCAACCTTCTCGGAGCTCGTACGGCCAATGTAGTTCCGGTTCTTGAGGGCAGGAAGGCACTTGCGTGATACTGTGCAAATTGAGGTCTGTATTGATATTTAAGCCTATACCTGCCTGGGTTTCTACCTTCTATGTCTTTCATCTGCTAAATCCTTTACCAGGCTCGGCTGCATGTCCCTTCTTCCCTTGACCCATCATCCCAGCTGTGTTATCTTCAGATCCACCGGATATATGACGTAATCATCATGGTCACCCTATTATGGGTACACTCATCCGGATCCAGGTCGCTTGGATCCACCTCACTGTAATGGTACACTCGCCGTGGATCCGAGCTCTCCAATCATCCAACATCATCTCGCAACCATCTGTGATCTCCGTTGTCCCACGAAAGTTCGAGATCCACTGTATCCCTCATCCCTATACCCTGGATCCAGGTCCCTCCAGGCGGGATCCTCCCTCCTTGGATACGAACTCGGAGGTATGGGATCCGGGGTACCTCGCGGTGGATCTTGACTCTTCATTAGCCGTGGCTACTAGATCCACCGTCAGAGAGCACCGACCATCCTTCCTTCATAGGATCCGCACTCGATCCACTCTTGTATAGTATATCCCATATCCATCTTAGTGAATCCAGGTAAGGGTGGATCCGAGGTAAGTCTTGGTGGATCTTGCCTTCTCGTACATCGCTCATATCAGATCCATCGTCATTCCATACGGGGTGCTGCTCGCCATGGCTAATCCACCACAGGCAACTGCACCCGTGCCAAACAACCCAAATCCTCTATAATCACTTGAATATGTCACTGATTCGGGTATAGTGGACCCGGCGTCAGGGACCATTCTTCTATTTCTGAGAAAGCACTTTCACCCACAATCGCCTCCTGTACGTGGTCGGCGCTGCACAACAGGCGTCCACGACGTGCATCACCAGCATCCACAACCCGCTTTCTCTCCTTCGCGACACATGTCTCCCGCCAAGCGTACCGGTCCAATCGTCGGGCAAGGTCCCATCCACCCACACCTCCGGCCAGTCCGTCTTCCATGTCGCCCACCGATCTGCGGGTTCTAGCCCAGGCTCTTTCCGATCAGGTGCAAACCCTGACGGCGGAGCTCCAGACGGCTCAAGATGCCCAAGACCAAGCTGCGTCTCTACACACTACCCAACTTCAGACCTTGCGGGCCCAAATCCATGACCAAGCGATGGAGATCCAGGGGTGGGAGCACCGTGCGGCCTCTCGGTCGCAGGACCTGCGACTCCTGTTGGCTGATCAGGCGGTCGAGATCCGCGACCTGACCGGACGGCTGGATCGCGCCTCCCGTCAACGAGACGTTATGCGAGATGACAACGACCATCTCCTTAGGGAGATGGCACTCGCCGGATCTGAGATCCACCAACTCCAATCACGGATCCACGACCTCGAGCGGGATCTGGAGGATTCCCAGACTGCTAGGGCAGCTGCGGATGTGAGCTTGGACCGCCTCCGTGACGAGTTGCGTTTGACCCAGGAGGAGGTGGTGACCAACGACTATGTGGGATCCGCCCATGACGGATCCGCCTTAGGGTCGGCGCGTGGAGGGTCCCCCGCGCCAAATCCACCTCCCTCGTCGCCGGATGTGGCCCTGGCTCAACTCTCTGAGGAGTTGCAAGACACCAAGGAGTCGCTCGAGAGGGCGTCTGCCGGACGAGATTACGCGCTCGAAGAATTCGTGCGTATGACTCGATTGCGGGATGAGATCCAAACGCAACTGGCAGACAGCGAGCTCCAGCGGGACAAGGCGACTACCGAGTGGGCGGATGCCGAGCGTGCGCTAACGGAGCTGGAATCCAAGCTTCGCCGCATGAGTACGTGGATCCTCTTTTAGTCCTTGCTAGTAACTCCATATTCACTTGTTATTGTCAATCTAGGTGACAAATTGAAGAAAGCAGACGCGACCACCGCAAAACTCCAGGATCAACTTTCCG